GAGGGTCACGTGCTGCCTGTGGTGGGGGGGGCCCCCCGGTGGGAGAGCTGGAGCCCGCGCCTCCTGCCCCATCCACTGCTCTGTGCTCCGCTCCCTGCCTTACCTGCTGCTCTGCTTTCTGCTCCGTGTCTCATCGACTGCTCTGCGTTCTGCTTCCTCCCCTGCACCTCTTGCCCCATCGGCTGCTCTGCTCTCCACTCTCTGCCCCGTCACTTGCTCTGCCCCATCAGCTGCTCTGCGTTCTGCTCCCTGACCCATCGATTGCTCCGAGCTCTGCTTCCTCCCTTGCATCTCCTGCCCTGTGCTCCCCGCCCACCCTGTCTGCTGCTCCGCTTTCCACTCCCTGTCTTGCACCTCCTGCCCCGTCGGCTGCTCTGCCCTCTGCTCCCTTTGCTGCCCCTGCCCCGGGTCGGTCACCCCCGAGCTGGCGTGCGCTGTGACGGGCAGACGGACCAGGCCAGGGGAACGGACCTGCCCGTGTGGTGTTGCCTGCCTGGCACCGGTCTCCAAGGCTAAACCAGGCTTGCTGTTGGTTTCCCCCCTGCAGCTCCGAGCACTGGAGGCACCGGCTGCTCCCGGCCCTAGGGCAGACCTGGCTGAGGCTGCAGTGATCTGACTCGGGTTGGGGACCAGGACGCGTGCCGGATTGTGCACCTGGCTCAGTGGGGCAGCATTGCCTGGACACTCAGCGTAGCTGACACCTGGTTTCCTCCCCAAACTCTTCACAACAGGCCATGCTGCTGTCACCCTGCGACTGCCGTGGTGCTTAGTCCGGGACAGATGAGGTGGCTGGAAGCCAGGCCAGCAACCTGCTGCCTCATGTCTGATCCGTGTTCGCTGCCGCTCAGTTTTCACGTGGAGCCTGAGGGTCTGGCTTTGACCAGAGTAAAGCGAACAAAGCTGAAATGGAGCAGAAAGCAGAGCAGGGTGGCAACCTTGTAGACTAGCTCTGGAGTAGCCACGTGGCACAGGCAGCCTCTGTGTGGCACATGGCAGACCAGGGCAAGAACTGGTATCATAAGGGCAAATAGGGCAGGGAGACAAAGCTTAAATAACAGCAGATCAGGTTGGGGAGCACAGAACAGGGAGCAGAAAGCAGAGCAGCAGACTGGCTTAGGGGTACAGGGCAGGGGACAGAAAGCTGAGCAGCCGATCTGGCAGGGGAAGGGGGGGGGAGTGGCACTCTGGGAGTGTGTGGGATTAATTTGTGGCATGCCTGCCAAAAAGATTGGCCCTCCGCTGAAATGCCTTGTTCAGAGAGGCAGGAGCATTCATGGGCTACAGCCTACTTTATGAAACGGTTTTGGCATCTTCTCATTTGAGAAACTGGGGCTGGCACAGAGGCAATAAGGAGTGGGAGTCTAAGCATAAAACGTAGAGCACGGTGGAGACATTTTCTGCGCGGAGCTCAGGACCTTGGAGCGCTGCCTCTGATTTCCAGGGAAGCTTTTAGCAAGTTGCGTAATTGTTGTGCCTTGATTTCTCTGTCCGTAATATGTAGATAATGCTTTCCTACCTTGTTTAGTGCCACGAGCCTTAATTGCTGTTTGTAAAGGGCTTTGCCATCTACTTGGAAATAAAAAAAATACCTTGGAGAGCAAAGAGAGGTATTTTCTTAGGGATTACATTCGTCTGCAGAAAGGTCTGCAAATCTCATTACTTCTTTTTCCTACCTCCCTGCTATTTACCCAAGTCGCAGACATTTTACTGAACATATTCTAAACATGTTAGATGAATGGTACCTTGTAGTTTAGCTTTCCCTTCACCCTTAATCTTTGTTAGGTGCTGAGTATCTGTGATCATTTAATGAATATAAAATCAATCCAGCACTTTTCTGGGAATAAGGGAAATGAAACCGCTGTGTAGCAGCATATAGAAAGCTGAATGGAGGGATTTAAAAGAAAGGAATATAGCTGCTGACCAGATGGAAAAGACTTAATTCAATCTGGGGCATTTCTGACAAACCAGAGTTCATAACAGGGTCAGAGATCTCGATCTGAAAAAACTGACTATAGTTACTGACTGGATTCTGTATATATGATTTTAAATGGCATAACTGTGATGTGAAGGCATGTATGGGGTTTCAAAGAGAATAAAAGTGTAACCACTTACTGCAGCTTTTAAAAACCCTGATACAAAACTCCAAAAAAGCACTTGTATACCTCCCTCAGCTTGGGTCTTAGTACAACTTTGCATTTTTAAAGGTACTTATCCCAGACTGCTAAAGGATTTTACAGTAAAACCAATGACACAGGGTGGGGAAACCAAGCACAGAATGCTTGCCACATGCTCACAGAGCAATTTAGTGGAAGATAAACTCTCAAGAGTCCTGAATCCCAGTGCTCAGGTCATTAAATTAAATTGATGGTTGATTTCTCTAACTGCATCTGGAGCCTAGGAATTTAAAATGCTAGAACAGGTGTTACTATTTGTGCTTCCAAGTGTACTACTGAGAATTCTGCTCTTTCATAATGGATGGGGGCCATGTGGCTTGGTTCCATGCAGAAGAGAGGTACACGAGGGGGTAGACTTCATAATAGATTTCCTCTTCAGTTTTTTTACTGCCTTTGTCTCTATGTTGAACTGACAAACCAAAGCTTTCCTTTTTTGCATTTCAAAGGAAATGCAGTCATGTTTTGGAATTAGAATTTCTGGATGCATTTTGAATGTGCAGTGGAAATTCTTAACTGGGTTTTCTCTGTACTTATTCTTCATCCAAATCTAGTCGTGACTGCCCCCCAGGTGAGCACAGTTGCAGCAAGATGCGCATCCAAGAAAGCCGGGAGCAGCCCAAAAAACAAGGGTGGTCACAGAGTTGGGAAGCGGTATGGATGGAAGAAACAAGATGGTAGGTCCATCTGTTTGCTTAGCTGCTTTCAGCTTGTGTTCCGCCAGTTAACTCCTTGCCAGGGAGTGCTTATGGGGCACTACTGAGCTTTGGTGGCAGGGGCGTTCATTCCTTGTGAGAGAGAAACCAAAGGGTTCAGCACTACATGGTGTGCAACAGTTACGGGAGTAGCCAGCAGGAGGCTGGAGTGAGTCAAGCTAACTCCCGGTCTGCCTACATGCAGCAAACTGAAGTTGCCAATAAAAAGCATACTTTGGTTCCAACTTAACCTGCCCCCAGGGGAGCTGGGAGGAGGGATACAACAGGGGGCATCTGATAAGTGAAGTGCACTTTCATCTCCCACTGCGCGCAGAAGCTGGGCACTTCACATAGTTACAAAGGGGAGAATTATGAGGCTTAATAGAAGCCAAAGTACAGCTTCTTGTAAGCGAGTGCCTAATAATTAATAGGCTTGCAGATGAAAACATGTGGATGTGAAAGGCAATAAAACAAGCGCCTGCAACAAGCAGCCAATGCCTTGTGCCCTAGAACTAATCTTTTCAAAAATAAGTATTGCTTTTTGCCACTGTGCAACCACTGCCTTGTAGTTTCCGTTAGCAGCGTTCTCTTAGGCTTAGGAAACCTCCCAAAGTGCTTGGAGCCCTGCCAGCCCTGGGGCTTCAGGTAAGCCTATGTGTTTGAATCGAGGTTGCTTTGTTGCAGGTGTCTTTGTTCACGCGGGGAATATCTTGGCCACGCAGAGGTTGATTCGCTGGCATCCAGGGGCTCAGGTAAGTTGCTTTTTCAGCCCTTGTTCTCATCTTACGGTAGGGGCTGTCCACAGCAAAGCCCTAGAGTTGAGGCTTAGCACATTTCCTGCTCTTCACCAAGGTGCCTTGCTTCCTCCCTTCCATTCCATGTCAGGGATGGTTCAGTAACAAGTATTACTTAGTAGAAGAGTCCATTTACAACTGTTATTGCACACAAGGCCATAGTCAAGGGAAGGAGTTTTGTTCATTAATGGCTTTTAAGGGTTTGCCCCTCTATCTGAAGGACAAACTCTTTAGGCTTAAAGCTACAGAAAAGCCACTTTCAAAGCTGAGGCTAGAATTCAGGAGTGTATAACTGAAGGGTTTGCCCCCTTACTTATTAATGGCTATTGAACAGAATGGTTGGAGAGGTTTCCTCTGGTATATCTAAACCAGTGGTTTTCAACCTTTTTTAATTTGTGAATTCCTTTGGACATTTTGAGTGGAGGTGTGGACCCCTTTGAATTGTAATTTGAATTGGGGGTATTCACATACTTTAGATCATAGTCATCTTTCACAGACTCCTTAGACGTAGTCTGCAGATTACAGGTTGAAAACCACTGCTCCAAACCAATAATGGTGCATGCAAGGGATGGTATTGAATAGGGGACAGATCACTCTAGATGCATCTGGTTCAGTGTTCCCTCTATACTATCTACTTCTGCCACTGGCAGAGACTGGATACTGGGCTAGACTAGATGGACCATTGGTCTGATGCAGTATGGCACTTACGTTCTTAAAGGTAATCAATACTTGTGCTTCAGGGGAAGAAATCCCTCCTCTGGCCTCTCAATTCACACACACCATGTAGTTTTATGTATGGCATTCTGGGCTTCTTACTTTCCTTAGAAGAATCAAGTATTGGCCATCACTGAAGCCCAGGTAACCATCTACAGGGGACAACGTGAGCCACTTCAGCATATGTTCTCCAGTGACTATCTGTCTACCCCTTTCTCCTTCCAGTATTCTACCCATGTGCTTTCTTCCAGGTGGGAATAGGCCATAACAATACTCTGTATGCTCTGGAGGACGGGATCGTGCGATACACCAAGGAGGTCTATGTGCCACCCCCACGCAGCTATGAGACCAAGCACGTGATCCGTCAGCTACCCAGGGGGGCCATTCTTTACAAAACCTTCATCAACGTCATCCCTACTGAAGAAGTAGGCAGCTTCAAGCTAATCACCATGCTCTGAGACTGCTGCCTTGCATTGCTGCTGGGGACAGAGCACTGTGGCAAAGCTGGTGCCCAGCCCTGGATGTCTGGAGTCTTAGGAAAGGATTGCTCTAGACTTGAAGAGACTTACAGGGGACTTCACTTCTTCGATTCAGGACTGTTCTGGGTGCAGGTCTGAGCTAGAAGGTAACGGGGTGCCTGATGATGCTTGTTGGAATATATCTAATAAATATGATGGATTTTCTAATGCCTGGAGGGTGTCTATGAAAGAAAAGCAGTCTGTGTTCACGTAAAGCCAAGGGGGCAAGTGAAAATATCTTCCCTTTCCTGTGAGCCCTGTTCCAGTCCAGCTGGAAATACTGCAGTATCTACAGAGGAATTGGCCACAGTTTGGGACTCAAAGTATTGAATTTTGGCCAGTTTGGGAATCAAAGTATTGCATTGACTGTTCTCTTGTCACGACTGAAAGGGGAAGAGCCGGCCCAGTAGCCAACTTCTGAATTCTAGTCTCAGCTTTGACAGTGGCTGCGCTGTAGCTTTAAGCCTCAGTTCTGTCTTAGTTTCCCCACTTATAAAAGTGGGGCAGTGCTGATAACATCTTCCAGTGTGTAATCCCTCTGTGAGGAAGGAGTTTGGTTGATTTCCCTGTTACTTGGGGAAACGGAGGCACCTGCCACAATCTCTAGAGGAAGGCAGAGCCAGGAATAGAGATCAGGAGTTCCTGACTCTCAGTCAGAGCTACCTATTGAATCCCCATTTTCTCTTCCTGTGCTTCTGAGAATGAAAAAATGGCAGCAGATGCAGAGGTGTTGGGCACCCAACACCACAGTTCACTGACGAGGCACATAGCAGAAGGAGGTGCCTCCCTCATTTTTGGCCAGTCGGTGAGAGAAAGCCCAAGGAACATGCTGCTTTGAGTTGGCAAAGATGCTAATCTAATACAGAAGTGTGTCTTGAGCAGGCAGCAGTGTTAGACCAGACATGAAAGGGAACTATGACTCCAGTGCTTCCCTAAATTGTTACTGAGCTTTCGAGACTTTCAGTTCTGGCCATGTCAGTTCCTGCCACAGTAACAAAGGGAAGCTGCCGGGATGATTTGGGTTAAAAGTAGAACATTGCTAGAAAGTACACAAAAGTTTCTCCAGAATGTGCATCCTTCCAGCGTGTGCAACCTACATGCTGCAGCACCGTGCAAGGCCAAGAGACCTCCTAGGGCATAAATTGTTTCATTTTAAATAGTTCGTTATGTTAAATTTCCCTTATTAAAACCATTGACTCCTGAATTTTTAAGAGAAACCCTTGCATAGTACCACATTCATTAGTAAAAATGAAAGTCCTGCTTAGACTTTCATTCTCTTTCTTTGCACAATAAAACAGGATTGACAAGTTTGTATTCAATTCCCAGCCAGTTTTCCTTGCTGATTCTCAGGCATTAGCACTATACTTTTCGGTTCCAAATACTGCAGAAGATGAGTCCCTTCCCACCCTGAAGGGCTTTCAAGAAAAACCGTGTGAAAATCTGCTCGCTGGAAACTCAGCTGAGAATCTGAAGTACCTGACAACGGCCTGCTAACTTACTAGAGTGGGCAGGGTCACACTTCCAAAGCTATTATCACGATTAACTGTAGAATTCCCAACCAGACAAAGAAGTCTGAAATGGCATCCGAAACTCATCAGCTGAAGGGTGGAGAGCAGCTTCCCAAAGTGAAACTCAAACACAGGGTATTTAAGTCCTTCAAGAATCCTGCTGCTGAAAAAAAAAAAAAAAGACTCAAGATACTTTGTGGTCTGACCAGTCCCATTTTATCAACAGTGTTGTAAACAGCATTGTAAACATTTGTTCTGAAATACAAAACAATAGGCAAAAATCTGAGGTGCAGCTGCACCATCCTTGGTGTGATTGATTGTCAAGGAAACTAAGACTCTTCTCCTTGTAGAGGGGAACTGAGTAAACACAAGTCCTGATCTGCCCTTGCACCTTCATGGAGGCTACCTGTTACCCGTTTGTTTCTGTGTTCTGGGACACCCAGCTTAGGCTGGTCTCTGTCCTTGCTTACAGGGTTCCCAGAATGATCCTGACCCTTGCCAAACCTTTATCTTGTCAATGGAGACAAGACTTTCTCTACGCACCATTTTTAAATCCTGCAGGCGTGTGCGTGTGTGGGGCACGAAGCAGAGGTTTGACAGTAGCAGTTGCAGTGCTGATTCATTCCTTCAGTGGCAAATCGAGCCTCTGACCCTGGTACCTGCTAACTTGATTGTTTTTACAGCGTAATAAACAGATGAGATAAATCGTCCAGCTTCTGAGGTCTTAATACTTTCAGTGTTGGGCAATACCTGCCACAGAGGTGTATGGGGCACAGTAGAATAGCTGCCTGATGTTCCTCTGGGAGTTTTCTTTGACCAAGTAGACCATCCTCTGTGCTTTAACCCCTTGAGCATAGAGATAGTGGCTGGGGATCATTCTACTGGCTGTGGTCAAGATAAAGTCAATAGAGCAAGGAGGGAGTAGCAGTCCACAGTGGCTTGTTCCATAGTTTCTGGAGCAGAGACTCCAGACATCACACCACTTTTCCAAGAGCAAGGTGGATGAAAAGAAAATTAGTTGGTCTCTGCTGGTTTGCACGCTTGTTTCTCAGCCGTTTTGGGTCTGGGTGAAGGCCTGAGGGTCGACACTGCCCTGCAGGAGGGAGCAATGTCACAGCGCCACCGTTGCAGCTACAGCTACAGCAGGAAAAAATGCTACCAGGGCTGACTCCAGCTTTACACGGCTGTGTTGCGTTGCGGTTGGTAGCTGACTGAGACCTGGAATATGTCTGCCAAGCTGTGTCTGTCTGTTAATTCAGAGCCAGCCTCGCTTCCTGGCAGAGCTGGAGGGTGCCGGAGGGCCTGCTCGTAGGGAGGGGGCATCTATGAGAGAGGAGAGGAGAGGAGAGGAGAGGAGCAAGCCTGTTACACTTGACCAGAAATCAACGGTGGTAAAGATTATCCCCATTACATAATGTGTGTTTAAAGGAGCCCTTTCATACTATCATCATCTCTGCAATTTAGCACTTGTAATCCTCACCACAATGCTGTGAGCTGAGTGCATGGGGCTGCTGGAAACCTTGCCTGATCCAAGGTGTTCAGGTAGAAACCAGTGCAGCACCTGCTGCCCAGCCCAGCCACTCCTACCACAACCCATCTCCCTCTCCCTTTTGTCCCTAGCCAAAGCTTCTCTTGTCCCTTTCAGGGGCCTGTTGACATTTGCTAGAAACCACAAGGTTTCCAGTTAAACTTCCCCAGATGGATAGGATTAGTTCTTACATGTCTCACCCAAGTATCCATTTCTGTGTACTTCCTGCCAGCTGTTGCTTATGTAAGCTTGACCCATCCAACCTGTTCTCTCTGCTGTGGATGTGTGCGCACTGCAGTCAGGAGGAGGGACTGTGACATGAGAGAGGGATGCCCGACCTCCCTGCTAGCACAAGTAAGAGCAGCAGTAATGGGGGTGGCTACCCCGTCCCTGCCAGGCTTGGCCAGCTCCTGCTGCATTCATGCCACCATGTTGCTGAATTCATGCCACCATGTCTATTTTGCTACTGTGAGCCATGCTAGTGAGATGAGAGCCAGCTTGGGTCTAACTACCCCACCAGAGCACAGTCACTGAGGGGCAAAACCTCAGAAGGCTGTTAGGTGCCCAGTGCCCCTTGGTAGAGAAGCAGCACCTTCCCCAACTTGGGCCTCAGGT